TGAAACTTTCAATAAATTTTAATCACTTTAAGTGTAATATATTAATATTGAAATAAGCCCACTCGGGGACCATGGCAAATTGCATCTCTTACCTCCTACCCCTCTATGGGCCCCTGCACCAATAATATAAATAGTAAATACTTATAGGTATATATGTTTACCACAAATTTCTTGAGATTTCCTTTTAAAATATTTTTAAAATTACTAAAACTAAAAGAGATATAGCACTTTTTGGTAAGCTAATGAGATTGTGCCACTTTCATTTTTTTATATTTATATATATTTATTATTTTTAAATATTTTACTGAAATTTTAAGAAAATTGAAGAAACTTCATCAAAATTTTATGAGCCAAAGGCATTTTTTATCCGTTTTCCGATGCAATTATAGCAAAAGTAAAAGTTTAAATTAATCATGACTTTTAAAAAAAAAATTAAGTCTGATTTAATTTACAAATTAAATTGGTAACTGATTTAAATTATTTAAATTAATTTATGCATATAAGTAACAATAATTACTTATAGTGTATTCAAATCCAAGCCGAACTAAACAAAAACGCCCAAACGCTTGATAACTCGTTCTTATTGGTCGATTCGGAATCTGTTAAATAATTATAAATTATTATTAAAGGTCCAAGGGAAGGCCGCATGTGAAATTTATGCGAAATTTTCAGTAAATTTCGAAACTTTCAATGAAATTTCTGAAACTTTCACAGGCAATGTTGAAATTTTCGGATTGAAAATTTCATTTGAAATTTTTAAAAATTTTACTTTTCCAACTAAATGAAATATTTCAAGTTTGAAACTTTCAAAGTTGAAATTTTCATTTGAAACTTTCAAAGTTAAAATTTTCATTTGAAAATTTCAACTGTCCCAACCCTACAAGTAACACATGTTACTCTTGTCTATTACCTAAATATTATATCAAAGCTTCATCATATTCTTTGAGTTTATAGGAGTAACATATCACATACTTTTAACATGGTGCACCATAACGCCTGTTACACTTGAAAATTTTAACTTTGCTTTATTATGGGATGTCATTAGGGGTCGCCATGTTCTTGAAAATTTCAAGATCTTGTCTTGATCTTGTCTTGATTTCAAGACAAGATCAAGACAAGAAGTAAATTTAAATTTCAAGACAGGACAAGAAAATGTATGTCAATACCAAGATTTCTTGTCAAGAAAACAAGAAATCTTGAAATATCTTGACTAATAATAAAAACACTAAAACTTATTTATTTGTAAAAAATATATCATAACATAACATATTTTAATTTATTGAACACATTGTTTGCTAGAACGATTCACAAAAATGTAAATTAAAAATAATAAATGATAATCCTGTTGAAACTAAAATTGCAAACTAGATTTTAAATTTAACACATTTTTAAATCGGAATTCATAAGCCATGAATTAAGGCACATAAGACTTCTTATGGAGTCAACGCCTAGCCGATTTAGCCAAATTTAAAAGTTGAAATTATCGAATTAGGTTAATAAAATTATCGAATTTTCGGAAAATTATGTTACAATAATTGTAATAATTATGTTACAATAATTATTATAATTTAATCATAAAAAAGTGAAAGAAACAGGGTTGAAAATATTATCGAATTTTTAGAAAATTATAAAATTTGTTAAAAATTGTATAAAGCTGGATTTATAGTTCAGAAAGTAGCGGTAGCGGTAATGGCGGCCCCTCGCATAAACACTAAACTTACAAGGCGAGGCTGCCAACTAAAAACTGCCGTGTGATTGGCTGGAGTAGCGGTTGAGGTAAGAAAAGATGAAAGATGGTCATCTCTTGCCGCTACGTTCTTGCCTCTACTTTCCTTACCTTTGACAAAATAAATTTTTTCATATAATATTCAATGCCCAACTTGGCTACCTCTACCGCTGTCTCTACCGTTACATTTAGAACTATAAATACCGTACGGGAATCTATAAACAGCACTACGGTATTGTTGATCTTTTACGGGAGGAAGGAAGGAAATCTATAAATCATGCATTATGCTTAAATAAATTAATTAATCTGGATAGAATTAAGTTAATTTTGTCCAGATACTTGATTAAAAATTATGTTACAATTATCGAATATGTTACATATAATTTTCAAGCTTTGTTTTTAGAAAAAATTATGTTACAATTCGATAATTATGTTACAAGTGGCAACACTGTTTGCGTTCGTCAGAAAACAAATAAAGATCGGTGAACCACTAGATTGCCGGGTTAGCATGCAACGCAATAAAAAGATCGCCAGGGAATCACCGGTTAATCAAAAATTTCAAGATCTTGAAATTTCTTGACTCAAGACAAGATATAAGATGTCAAGAAAACGTCAAGACAAGATTTTTTAAAATTTCTTGATTTTTTCTCAAGACAAGACAAGAAGTTGTTATCAAGACAAGAATTCTTGTCTTGTCGACCCCTAGATGTCATTTACTCTCTTAAAATGAATAAGTCAAAAATAACTAATTATAAGTCATATTTGGCTAATTGTCATAGCAAAAAAGCAGTCACTAATAATTAGTCAAATTCTACTGAATGAAATAGTCAAATTAGTAGATTTAAATTTAAAAAAGTTTTGACCCAGCCGGGGATTGAACTCAGGTCTGTCACTTGTCAAGCTTGTCAAGCTGTTGTCATAACCCATTCGGCTATCAGCCGCTCTTATAAAAATCAATTTTATTTGTCAATATATATCGTTCATAATATTTTAAAGTTGAATATATTATTTGTGTTGCTGTTTTGAGCTAAACTTTTTGCATCTTTATTTGTTTTTATGGGTAATTTAACCATGGAGCTTAGGTATATGCATTTAATTCAAATAATACTTTGTTGTTGGCCGCAAACGATTAAAGAAATTAGTTACTTTTAACCCTCAGAAATAGTCAAAGATGGTGACTAATCTTAAATTAGTCAAACTTTAACTATTTACGTAGTAAAAATTAACTATTTAAAAGTGAAACCAACGATTTTATTAGTAAAAAATGCTGGTAATAATTCAAATAGTAGAATTTTGACTATTTCATTTTTAGAGAGTATAGTAATTTTACTCAGAATTTTATACAGAATTTAAAATTATAAAAATATATGGGGTGTTCTATTTGAAATTACAGAGGTGATGCCACTTCCTGTCAAACCGGAAGTGTCATTTTGTTCAAAATATTTAAAAAAATAGACTTAATGGATTATAAACGCTTTTAAATTTCAAATCTATATTTTTTCCGTTCTCCAGAAACTTCTAATGGACCACGAATGTGAAACACCCTGTATATCAAGTGGTTTTTAGGTTGTGATACCGATATAGATTCTAAAGCAATGTAAAATCGTCAAACTAAAAGATCAAGATTTGTGTACAACATATATTTTGTATAAGATAAATACAAATTTGTTGTTTTATTAAAAAAAATCAAAAATTAAAGTCAGAAATATTTTTTTCTTATGTAAAAACATAAAATATTTGAAGAAAAAAAATGATTTTTATTTTAAAAACTGTTAAAATTTTCATGGAAGAAAAATCGTGTTGTACTGTGTAATAGTTTTATTTTGTATACCGGGTGTATCTGAGAATATGCGCACCCCTGTTACTTTTTTATTTATAAAGATCTTAATTTCTTCTTATGGATCCACACAATGGCTGAAAAATAGAACTTGCCTTAGAAAGTTGTTATTCAGCGATTCCCATCAAAATTCGTTTTTCTCAAATAGTTCAAAGCACTAGTGCTTTGGAATCCTGGGTAAATTCTAAGTCTAATAGCATCCTCAAATTGACCTTTTGACGTTTCGTCATCAGAAAATGCATCATCATAAAGATCAATCTAGAGCTCTACATTGATCTTTATGATGATGCATTTTCTGATGACGAAACGTCGAAAGGTCAATTTGAGGATGCTATTAGACTTAGAATTTACCCAGGATTCCAAATATGTAAAAATATATAGGGCGTTCCATTTAAAAATCGAAAGTTGATATCATTTCCGGCGAAATCGGAAGTTCAAAAAATTCAGTTTGTACTCTTATAAGTAAAAATATTACGCTTACATGCTAACTAGCTTTATCGACCTCTTCGTCTAGTTATAATAATAATAATAATATGCAAGGACCTAACATTAAATCTATTCAACAATAAAATATGTTCAGTACCTCTAGCAGGATAAATATTGTCAAGCCTAAAAGCTAAAATTTTCAAAAATCGCCTTTGTATCTGTGGGTAAAAAGCATAAGGGGATAAGTCAAAAAAAGCAATTTTTCAATAGAGCCTTTAACGTGTTCGCATTAATTCAGGAAATATATTTATTTTTAGCGAATATACGCTTTTGTTAGCATATGACATGTGCTAACAAAAGGGTATACCCGCTAACCATAAACATGTTTCCTGAATTAATGCGAATACGTTTAAGGCTCTACTGAAAAATTGCTTTTTTTGACTTATCCCCTTATGCCTTTTACCCACAGGTATACAAAGGCCATTTTTGAAAATTTTAGCTTTTAGGTAAACTCTTTCTAATTGATCAGTGTAGGCATTATATCATGGATACCAAACAAGAGAGCAGTACTCTAGCTTGGTACGAACCAATGAATAATACAAAACTTTCAATGCACCCTCACAATTCATTGATTGAGTATTTCTATTTATAAAACCAACCATTTTAAGAGCAGTTTTTACAATACTAGTGATGTGGTCTGAAAATGATAATCTGGTATCAAAATATAGTCCCAAGTCTCTGGTACCTGTACACCTTGATATGGAATCGTCATTAATTGTGTACTCAAAAATAATTGGATATTTTTTTAGAGTAAAGGTACACACCTAACATTTACCGATATACAAAAAAGTCTATTGAGGATACACCATTCATTTATTAAGTTTAGCTGATTTTGTAGGTATACACAGTCTGATGCATCTGAAACATTTATAGTTATATGGAAGTGTCAGAGGAGAGTTTTATCATCGATGCAAAAATAGTCGAAAACTAACATTTTGGTTTTTTTTCTAGCTTCTGCAAGCATCTCGAGCAGCGCGGGCGCCGCAGGAGCGGGAGGCGGCTCGTCGACGTCGGACGGTACGGGGAAGTCCCGCTTCGTGGAGACGGCCGGGAAGTCGCCGTCGACCGTCCGTCCGTACTTCGACGACATCGGACCGCGGAACGTGACCGCCGTCGTCGGACAGTCCGCCCTGCTCAACTGCCGCGTCAAGCATCCCGGCGACAGGACGGTGAGTACAGTTGAACGACGCGAAATGTTCGTGCTATGATGATGAAACGAAATAAAAATATAAATGAGAATTTACAGTAAAAAACCAAACTGAATAAGAACTGAACGTTGATTTATTTATATCAACTGATTTACCCATATACACTGATTTAAGTTTAAACCAATTTGGCAAAATAGCAAATTTTAAATGACAGTAAAGATTTGTAGGTTATCCTACATATACTTAAATGAGACATTCTTTTACAAATCGTACACCTATTTTGACTTCAGGGTTTGGATTCGCATGAAATTTTTTTTACCGCTTCTATTCAGTAAATAAGCAGATACGTGTATCAGGTTTTCTGTAAAAAATTTGTTTTTTCAGAGATATGTTGATATAAAGTTTTTATGAATTGCGATAAAACGATGAATTCTCTTCTACATAAAACCCATTATCTCCGGTTCTACTGATCGGATCGATTTTGTTTTTTTTTTTGTTTTAAACCTTATTGAATAGGCTTTTCAAATAAATAAATTAAATTTTTTTTTTTAAGTATAGGGATTTAATAACAGATTAATTTTTTAAACTAGTTTTTCATGTTTGCCCCCTCTATAAAATAAAAGGAAAAAAATACTATTTTATGCGCTTTTTCTTTATCTACAAAATACATTTTTCAGAACAGTGGAGACTCTTTTGGATCGGAAGATATTAAACATTTTCGAGCGCGTGACAGGACTGTCAAGCGCGTAATATTCAAACTTATTAGTGCATGTGGCGGGTGACGTGATATTTCGTATAAGAGTGCCATGATTCGACATCTTTTAATTGGTGACTTATTTGTGCAAATGTCAATTCTGCCAGTTAATAAATTTACTCATTAATTGGAGTTTGTATTATTTAAAATTTAATTTATTTAAAATTATTGAAAACCTTTAAAATCTGAATTATTTTACAAAAAGCGCTGGTATTTTTTTAAAACGATGTATGAGGTTATACTATCCTAAATGTGTTAGCGTTTCGAATATGTCTGATTAGGGGGTGTCCATTAATTACGTGAGTCTATTTTAGCGATTTTTTGACCCCCTCCCCCCTTGCTGAGATGTCGTGAGATTTGGCTCAACCCCCTCCCCCTAATCTTACGTGAGATTTTAAAAAATGCTTATTTTTAATGTTTATACGTTAAACTGCTTGATTAAATGGATTTATTAAAAAAACATACTTTGTTAAAAATTACGTGATATTTGCCGAGACCCCCCCTCTCCCTTACGTGAGAAATAATGAGATTTGGCTTGACCCCCTCCCTGCCCTAAACGCCTCACGTAATTAATGGATGCCCCCTTACGGCTTGTACCGGTCACGCGCTCGAAAATATTTAATATCTTCCGATCCAAAAAAGTCTCCATTTTTCTGAAAAATTCATTTTGTAGAGTAATAAATAGTGCATAGAACAGTATTTTTTTAATTTTTTTTCATAGAGAGGGCAAACACAAAAAATCTGTTTATACAAAAAGAAATATTTTTTTCATATAATAAACAAAACACAAACTTTTTAAATATTTATCTAAAAAGACTATGTAATATGGTTTAAAATAAAAAAAAATGAAATCGATCCGATCAGTATAACCGGAGATAATGAATTTTAAGTACAAAAGAATTCAGCATTTTTTCAAATTTTATCAAAAGTTTAAATCAATATATCTTTGTAAAAATAAATTTTCTGCAAAAATTCCGATAAAGGGGTCGGCTAAATTTATGAAAAGATGCTGTAAAAAAAATTAAGTCATTTTAAAAATTTGAAAAAATATGTTTTCTGTAATCCGTACGATATGTAAAAGAATGTCTCAAATATGTGTTTATTACATTACACTGAAAAAAAAAATGATGTAAATTTACCACGATTATTGATGGCGACTGGTGACCATCGATAATCCAGAAAATTTGCAACAACAAAGTAATTTTACAAAACAGTATTAAAATTACATTGTAATTTTACACCCATATAATTAAATTTACAAAGTAAAATTCCTATAGGAATCTAGTAATTTTACACTATGATTTTATTTGAACTATAGTTATATATACTTCAAATAAAATCATAGTGTAAAATTACTAGATTTCATGTAAATTCACAATGTAAAATTCCTAGTTAAAATAAAATTATAATGTAAAATTACAGACTTCAATGTTAATTTACAAATACTTAAAAATGTAAAATTTCTTCTTCAGTAAAATCACAATGTAATTTTAATTTATATAAAATATATAAAATTGGAAATTATATTTAAATTCATAGGTAACCAAAAATAATTTTCAATTTGTGGTTGTTTAAATAGTGGCTTTTTTTGATGTTGTGATATGCTGTTTTACATTTTATTGGAAACCGTGGTTCAAGGAATATCTAAATGAAAATAACTTGGGATCAATTGACGGTGTTTTATTTTTATAAGTATACTTATAAAAATAAAACACCGTCAATTGATCCCAAGTTATTTTCATTTAGATATTCCTTGAACCACGGTTTCCAATAAAATGTATACAGTTGAACGATGTAAAATGTTCGTGCTATGATGATAAAACGAAATAAAAAGAAAAATTATAATTTACAGTAAAAAACCAAACTAAATAAGAACTGAACGTTGATTTATTTATATTAACTGATTTACCCATATCCACTGATTTAAGTTTAAACCAATTTGGCAACATAGCAAATTTTAAATGACATTAAAGATTTTTAGGATATCTTACATATGGGTAATTTTTTTACAAACCGAACACCTTTTGACCGACACATCTCAGATTTGGCTGAAACTTTTTTTACGGATTCTATGTCGAAAAATAAGAGATACGTGTCCGAGGATTTTTTTTTCTCTGGCATATTTTCGATAATACAAGCTATCGAAAATTTGAGAATAACGAGTTTTTTGGCTTGGAGACTCATTTTCAAAAATTTATAACTCTGGTTCTATTTAAGCTACAAACTTCTTTTAATTTATTTGAAAAGTGAGGTTATGTCGAAAAATAGTTAAAATAAAAATTGTAGATCTTTTTATTATCTATTATATAATTATATTTGACTTTTTTTGATCCGAGCTATAGTTTTCTTTTTATTGAAAAAAAAACCGTTTTTTATGTGTCGCGCAATATGAATTAATGTTTTAACAATAGTAATAATAAAGGTACCATATTTTGAAAACATGTTTTTTATGTAAAATTTGACCGAGAATACGATAAAAATACTAAAAACTTAATACGAGGGGGGGGGGAAATTGTTAAAAATTGATTTAAACAATGAAATTGTTTATAACAATATGAATTTGTTAATGATATTTTTTAAAAGTATTTTTTTATCAGTCCTTTAGCTTTAAAATGAAAAAAAGAAGAAGTTTGTAGCTCAAAAAGAAACAGAGTTATAAATTTTTGAAAATGAGTCTCCAAGCCAAAAAATTTTCGATAGCTTGCATTATCGAAAATATGCGAGAGAAAAAAAATTCCTCGGACACGTATCTCTTATTTTTCGACATAGAATCCGTAAAAAAAGTTTTAGCCAAATCTGTCGGTCAAAAGGTGTTCGGTTTGTAAAAGAATTACCCATATACTTAAATATGTTTATTACATTATAAGAGTGATACATTTTTAAAATGTGTTATTAAATAAAAACATAAATACATTTATAACTGACTAAACCTTATTATTGACAAAAAGTTGATTTTGAAGAGGATTGCGGCAATATAAAACGCAACAATTGGGTTATGTTCGTAGTTTGCAATGTGTTTTTTATAAGTACCTAAATTTGCATTAAAAGGTATGAAAAACGAAAATTACGGCCTAAAGCCTCTGAAAAGAATTATAATAATTGAAGGGGTTAGAATAGAAAAGGTATAAGTGCAATTTCTTTAATTTAGGAGATAAGTTCGTTTTGTGAAAGATAAGGTTCCGACGTATCGAAATGAAAAGGATTTAAGTAATTTTCATACTTCTAGGGACCTCTATTATCCAGTAGAAAAACATTACTAAACAAAATTCTTCACTTTTTTATGGTAACATAACTTTAACTTCAAATATCTCCAAAAAATGAAAATGTTACTTATACCCTTTTTATTCTAACCCCTTCAATTATATTAACTATAGTTATAGGAATACTAGACCTATTTCTAAAAGGCAATGCTCTTTTACCTATTCTTTTACAAGTACCAATAACACCTTTTTAGGCATTTAGGCTAATGTTTTGAAAAATAAATGCAATGATGCTGACTTCGAGAGGGAAAAAAGACATTTAAAATTTGTGACAAGAGTATAAAAGATTAGGAAACAAACTCTAGAGGATAACATATGTTAGTTAATGCTTGATAGACATAAATTATGGCTTCAGAATAAACTTTTTTAATCAAAAGGAGGGAGCTATACTCAAAAATTGCATGTCCGGAAAAATTGTTCTAGAAAATGGGTGGGAGTTGGAGTCTCGAAACTTTTTGTGGCATGCATATTAGACTGGGCCAAAAAAATCAACTATTTTTTTTTAAAAGTATATCGAAAATATGGTTTGGGGTGACAAAAAAAAATATTATGAAAGTTTGAGTCCATAATATTAATATTAAGAGGTCTATCATCGCAATTTTAATTTTTTTTTCCTCAGCAAGTTTTAGACTCAGAACTTCCAAACCATTGAGTTTAACAAAATTGACTTAAAAATATTTTTTTAAGACAATTAAATGTTCTACAAAAAAGGTTAAAGTGAAATTTTCCGTCAGATGGACCGTTTCCTTAAAATCATGACTTAAATATTGGTATAGTTTTACATTTTGATCTTTTAAATTGGAATTTTGTAAATCATGTAAAAATCAGTACCCATAAAAAACCAATACATATTCGTATGGGAAATCAAATGCTTTACAAAAAAAGCGTCTTAACATTTTTGGCTAAATTCACTCAATCAAAAGTTATTCAAGGTTAAAATTTCGTTTTGACTTCAAATTTAACCTTGAATTGATGGAGTGAATTTAGCCAAAAATTATAAAAGACTT